TGCTGTCTAGCACTAAACTAGGGTTTTTCAGGGTTTTTTGTACTGTATCTTTCTAGATCTTTGTTTGTTTAAGGAGAGGACTTGTTTCTGTGATCCCTCACCACTAGCACCTGATGTAGCTTGCCCTCTGCATGTTTTTAACTGGCAATCATCTACGGGTTCAAGGACAAAAAATATACACATATATATACTTAATGGACCTTTCATTAGGTTGCTTAGAAAGTGATCATATACTATTTATAACAAGGGGTAGAAACATATTATTCCCATCTAAATTCTAAACCAAGAAGCTATTACCCAATCTATACATAGACTGGGAGTTTGGAACTGACATGCACACACAGCTATATTTAAAACAGATAACTAACAAAGACCTACTGTAAAATAAATAAATTGTTTTTTTTTAAAAAGAAGCTATTACCAATCCTAGCCATTAAAGCCTCACAACTCAAATTCCAACTATATTGTTTCTAAATTATTTAACAATCACTATTTTTAGATGTATTTAGCAAAAAATCCTGATAACTTTGCTTATATTTTTTTCTTTTGGGGGAGATCAGATAAATGAACTTGTTATGACTGAAAAAATACGTAACAACTTCCCCCCTTTACTTTCTGTTTCCCTATTAAACAAAGTACGCTTTCTCTCCAACGAGGAGCTCCCACCAAAAAGGAAAAAACATTCTATGTTCTTTCATACACCAAACCAAATGACAACCTTACACGGGAAAAGCAAACTACTGTTAAATAATGCTCTCCGATCTTGTTGAGATTAGCTCGAAAAGTTCCTGAATTGGGAGACAACCCTTGAGTGGCGAAGCCCATTCCCCCGTGAAGAAGAAAGAACCACCCCCCGCAAAAAAAACTTTCTCTTTTTAAAGCACTGTGTAGTTTAAAACATTAAAAAAAAAAAAAAAAAATCAGCACAGCCATCACTGTGATGTGATGTAGATTAGATAGCAAGTTAAGACTGTAAATATACCGACTGTAATATGGAATTTAATTTTATCTCTATGAAGTATTCTGAAATCAAAGACGATAATACATGCATCAGGCACATCCAACAGAAGACTTTTACAATGGTTTACATTTCCTTTTCATTTATTTCTTGAAACTGCCCATATTGCAGGTTTCTCATGGATGAAATATGGAACTGAGCAGATTCTTTTTTCTACAAAATTATGGTATAAACTTGCTCAATTTTCTATCTTATTGCTAATAAACCTTACAGGTGCACAGTTTGTAAAATAAACCCCTTAAGGACTGAATGCATAGAGCATGCTGCAAGGTACAAGAAATAAGCTAAAAATGAGCATATAAACCTACATCTGGACCAACACAGTACTGAATGCTGGCAAACATTTATCACAACACATGGAAAAATTAATAAAAGGAAATACAGTTCAGTCCTGAAAGGGTTAAATAGAAACCCTAATATATTATTGTTTCTAACCATCATCCCACATTACAGTGCTTGAAAACAAAGTCGAAAGTCTGGCACAGAAAATTACACACATTTGTTCAGTACTCATCAGAAACACAGCTGCTTTTGAAATCAAAAATAAGTAACTTGGTTAATAATTGAATAACATTTTGTTTCAAAAAGGAACCCCCCCCACCCCCTGCATGGATTATCTGATTAAACATGACTAGTTAGTTTAGTTCTTAAAAACTGTGTTGGAAATTGAGGGCACAGATGGTACTCGTTTCATTAAAAAAAAAAAAAAAAAAAAAAAACCCCAAAACAAAAACCTAACCAGTTACAATTGCAAATAAGTCTGTGCAGTACGAGTGACAAATATTTCACTAATTAATATATATATGAGGATGTCTTTAGTTGCCACAGTTTAAGAAAAGTCAGCAGCAGGGTAAATTTTATACTAGTGTTCAACTCTGAAATCATTTGAAATAAAAAGGGCATTTTATATTTAAAGCCTTTAGCTTGCCATCCCAATCTACGTGATCAAATTCAACAGAACTAATAAAAACATATTGGATAACAGACTCAGCTTCTATGCATATTTTCAGAAACTGTATAGAATCATAAGAGCAAAGGCTACACTTCTAATACAGAATTTATAAAAAAAAAAAAAAAAGCTTGAATGTACTATACTTTAACTGAAGTGGTTACCATTCTGAGAGTCTTTATAAGGGAAAATGACCAGCATCTCTAACAATGCCACCATTGGAGGAGGGGCCGTGTTCTACCATAAGCAGAGGACAAGGCTCCTGTAAATTAAACACTGAAAATAATTCACAAAAAAATTTTTAATCAGCTGACAAAAGAACTACTAGTAAACAATAAGCCACAACAGACAAATCATTTCAGTCTTTAGTCTGTGGTATGTAGAATGTCATAAAATAGTGGGGGGGAGAATGCCTGTATAAGCATATTCTTGAACTTTTCCAAAAAAAAAAAAAGAGGAAAAGGGTTTACAGTCTAATATTTCAATTATCTTATTAAAATAAACAAAGAGCCAAAATTAGATACAGTTAAACGGTAAAAAAGCAAAAGTTCATTTTAACAAAGCCATAAACTTGAAAAACTTATTTTGAGTTGCAATGCTGGGTAGGAATAGTTTGTTCTTCAAAAGCATCTCATCTGTTATCAGTTAATTTAATATAATTTGGTAACTAAATACCAAACCTGGGAAGTGGAGGAAACTTGTGGCCCATTCAAAGTAAGGCAGCACTGAAAACATTTCTGCGCTCTGAACAAAGAGCACTGTGTAAAGAATACTTCAGACTCAACAGAGAGAAGAATAAATACTCCTCAGAAATAAGCAAGTTTGCAAGAAAAAGCCAGGAAACAGTTAAAACAAAGAAAGATAAGGCCACAATGAATTCTGCCCTTGGTCACGGAAACAGATTTAAAGTGTGAGGCAGGATTAGCTTACAAGAGAAGCTAGTGACGGAGCAGACTTAAAGAGAGAAAGGCTATATATAGTATAATGCAGCCTGTGAGTAATTAAAAAGGCTTGCAGTAAAGAGAAGACCACAATAACTTTTATTTAACCACTAACATGTTTTACAAATGACTTCCCCCTTGAAAACTGAGGAAAAAGTGATGTAAAGATGTTAGGAATTGTATTTACAATGGCAGAGTCTGAGCAGAAGAATGAGTAATGAAGATATCAAAGCTGGGGGTGGAGGGGAGTGGGGGGAAGCTATTAACAATGATGTTTTAAAAAGTCTACTGACGGAAACTTTTCAAAATAGCCCAGGACACCAGAAAGACAATTTCTGTATGGAAACTGCAGGAAGTTAGTTTTGCATTCTTAAGGTACTTGTGGCTCCTGTTTTATGGGACAGTAAAAGCTTACCACAATGTAGAGGTAGTTTTTACTCAAAGAAAGATGACTGTATTACTAGACCATGTCCTGTAACATCACACACATAGTTCCTGTAGAAAACGTGGCCCAATGAGTCTGCTGCAATTTCTAAGACACCGAACATAGGCGTGCCCAAAGTGCAGGAACAAAACCAACGTGAAACCGGTGAGCCCAGCACACACAGCCAGCACACAACCCCGAATGCAGCCAAATCTTAACTGAATGGAGAAGAAATGCTTTCCGAGTAGGAGACATTTGTGAAGATGCCCAGTACTGGGGAAGAGAAAACAAAAAGAGGCAGGGAGAGAAATGGAAAGATAAAGTACATTTGCATTTTTATAATCTTACAGCTATCTGTTCCTAAAGTACTGTCTTCCAGCTATTTTAGTTGGTCATCTAGTAAAAGCATCTTGTTTCAAGGTTACAATGATGTTTTGGCCTAGGCTGCCCCCCACAAAAAAAAGTAAGTAAAAACATGCTTTTGCTGAGATTTTCCTCATTATACAATAAGGGCACCATCTACCAACTGGTAGCAAATACTTCTGATGATATTTTTTTGTCATATGCCAACAAGGCAGAAAAACACCCTGCTGAATGAAATCACTGGGAATATTCTAGCTTCAAAATAAAATGTTTAACTTACACATAATACAAGTTATGTACAAGATTAGGAGGAGGGAAAACCTGAACAAATCCTGGACCGCGTAGATACATTTCTGCACAGGAAAAGGGAAGGGAACACTGTGAAAACCAACATGTTCCACGCCATTAACTCATTAATGACTAAATGGCCACATTTAATTCCAGATAAATGTTAGAACCTCTTGGATTACAACTATAAATACATTTTTTAAAAAAAAAAGGAACACAGAAATAACTATCAACGGTGTCTGAGAATAGAGACTAAGTCAACGTACATCGCATGTATTGCAGGCAAGGCAGAGTCATTTTTTTTAAAGCTTTTGCACAGACTTCAAATAATCTTAAAAGAAATATGCAGGCCTTTACAAGATTTGACTTGCTGAAATCAAAACACCTTCCACTCATGAAAAGTCATAAGACTTCAGCTTTTAAAGAAAATAATAAAATAAAAAGAACAGTTCCAGCCTCAGACCAGAAGGACCCGGAGGAGTATGGTAATTAGATTAAACAAGCATGGTCAGGCTTGGAGCCTGAATGTGCTTCAGAGCAAAAGCTCAAAGCGGGTGGGGAGGAGAACAACCTATTTGGTAACAAAGCTGTACTATATATACTGTGATATGAAAACGGGATGGCGAAAATGTACCTTCTACTAAAGCTTATACAAGTTCCTTGGTCCATAAAAACTATGTTAGAGTTTCGTCTTCTAGTTTGATTTACCTTTTACTCCAGCCACATCTCTATTTCTTGCCCATTTAAACAAAACCAAACAAAACCCAACCAAACAAAAATAACAGCTGAAAAAAATCAATTTCCAAAAGTTTGCACATTTTGATGTTTTTTTGTTTGTTTTACTGTGGCTTCTGCACTTCAAATCAGCACTTGCAGGTAATGGGGTTTTTGAATAGTATCACCGGGTACGAAAAGTTTTCCCAAGAAACCACAAAAGATTGTTCATTTTTTTCTTTCTTTTTTTGTCAACATTTTGCCGCACTCAAGTCAGTGTAAGTCCTAGCAAAAAGACGGTAGTTAGGACACAACTGTTGCTGTAGATGACGTGACATTGGTTGAATTTGTGCTGACATTTGTGTAACTCCCCTCGCTGTTTGTGTTTGACTCATTAGGGGGCACTTGGCTGGAGTTGGCTCAAAGGATTGCTCCCGCCGCACTGCAATGTGGCCGTGGCCCCGGTTCTGGGGTGTAGGTAAAGGTAAGGCTGGTGGAATAAATGATTCCATCATTACGGACCAAAGTTACTGGAACCTGGACTGGCTGCCGGACCCATCTCCAACCTTCTCGGAATGCAGAAATGTCTGGGACAACACAGAGCATACTCTCTCCACATCTGAGGAGGAAATAGAACTCACTTAAAAGCACAGAAAATTTTAGAACTGAAACTTAAAACAAGGTTGCTTAAATACAGCACAACCAATATCAGGAAAGAGTCTCATGTACCCACACCCCCATCAAAAACTCTATATGATGTAAAAAATTATATTAAGTACCTGTACATAGTTTCAGCTTCTACATCCCCAAACCACACTCGTAAATTTGGAGTGAAATTCTGTCCTGTAAGTTCAAGCATTGCTACGTCCCCACCGCCATTCAACTGCAATTCACAGAAAATCAGAACAATGTTGAGAAAACTTTTCATTTTTCATGAAAGTACAGTTTCTCATTCGACTATCATGTGCAAAAAAATGGATAAATAAAATGCTTCTTTTAAATGACATGATTATAAAGACAAAGTGAACTAAAAATATCACAAGATAATATACAAACTGATTTACATTTAAATTTTCTTGCATAAAATTATGTTCCTCTCATTTTCTTTTTTTTTTAAATCAACAAATGATGTGTAACAAAACCTCCAAATCAAAAAAAAAAAAAACCCTCCAAATCACAAGATTTGGAGAAAAATCAAATTTATTGTGAAATAAAATTATGCCATGTCATAGCTGAGATCAGTTGCAAAGAGCTAAAAGTCAACTTGTAAGTGGTCTCACCTGAAGACTTTCTACAACAGGCACCGGTGTGACTGGGGCGAGGACAGGGCCCATCCCCTCGTAAAATGTATACTCTGCCTTATCCGTACTAATGATTGTCCAGGAAGCGCCATCATTTATCATCTCTTTATTTGGTTCTTTTGGGCATGGAGTGGCCTTATGAAAAAAAATTGGTTAGAAATTGAGTTTTATATACACTGCAGTATAAGACACTTTAACAAAGTAACACTCATAGACTGGCATTAACATGAAGAGAATTTAGTACAAATTTATAAACTTCCCAAGCACGATGCTTTGCCAATCCCTAAACAAACAGAATATTAACATGTAAACCTCACATATGGCAGGTTTTATTTTAATACAAAATATTTCAGTGACATACTAAAAACTAATAATACCTTCAGAATAACCATTTAAGTAAAAGTATACCAGTACCTGTATAATTTCTTTAATAAAAGATCAGTATCTGTGATGTAAATAGCTGTTTAAAACTCTTTAGGGATCCCTGAGAGAGAATGGGAGCCCCCTCCTCCTCAGAGAACAGCTAAAAACTTACGTACTTTCAGCTGGAAGGAACCGAGATATTGACTGACAATCCCCTACCCCTATCTCGAAACACCTAAGCCAGACCATCAGTGCTGGGTTGAGGAGACTGGCTGTGTGTGCATCTCTCTGGAAAGCCTCCAGATGTTCAGAAATGAGTTTCATGCGAAAGTATAACTATTCTATTAAGTCATCTGTTCATGTCATAAATGTCCTCATGAAAGCCTTCTGAGTAAATATAGTTGAAAATTAGCTTTTGAAATGTGTCATCATTACTATCTTAGAAGACCCCAATATAAATCTGATGAGAATTATGAATGCTCCTCCAAAATAGGCATGTATCATATACAATGTTGTCTGCACATAATTTCAGGTGATTTACTGAATACCCAACATCTAGTTTTGGATAATCTGAGGGCCTCTTTGCTCCTCAGAACTAGATATTAACTGCTTCTCTTAGAACATTTTCATAGTTTTGAGTTCTTCCTTGATGTAGGATGACTGCTATATCCGAGGAACATGTGGGCTAAGGACCCTTGAACTTGAGATAAATATCTGAACACACAGCTTCATGTATTTGGATACAATTAACATTAAGCGAGTTTCATGTTTCTAAATGCTGCTAACCTAATAGTTTGCACATTTTAGATTTTACCAGTAATTTAAAAACATACCTGAAACTGAATTATTCTTTCTTGAGAAAGGCACAAGTACATTCTTTCTGTATCCTTAAGGTAAAATGCACATTTATGGAGCTGTGACACAGGATCATCTGCATCCAGTAATGCGGTCTGCTTATCAACTTTCCTAATTATCTGTATTTCAACAATTAAAAAAGAAAAGATCATCACATATGGAGTTTTCATTTCGTACACTGTCAAGAGTACACAGAAAGAATCTGCTATATAATAATACATCACAGGTATTTGTCACATACCTACATACACAAAAGAATTTACAAACAATAAAGCTAGGTATAAGAATACTTTTAGATTGCAAGCATGTTAAGAATGTAGAGATGTTACCTTTTTCCTTGAACTCCTAAAAAAATAGGGCAGACTGGCACCTGTTTTCTAGATGAGTGGTTTTCAAACTTTAATGTCCATACAAATCATCTGGGGTTCCTGTTAAACACACATCTGTTCTGATCCCACAGATCACATACAGGGCCTGATATTCTGCATTCTAGCAAACTTCCAGCTGATGTTAATCCTGACCTTTCCAATAATATACAACAAATATTCCAACATCAAAGGGGAAATTATCTCTCAAGGCCACTATGGGTGTGGTAGTCGGTACCTAAGTCCAGTATCATACTTACACGTTGTTTTAATTTTAACCTAAAAGAGGTTATCATTTTGCAGATTAGGAAACAGGCTCAGAGGTCAGGTTCAGTTCCTCAAAATCACTTGGTTAGTAGCTCAGGGACCAGAATATGATTTCAAGGCAGGCTGCCTCTCCAGCCTGAACTCTTTCCATCACACACTATGACCTTATAATCCAAATATTCCACAAAACACATATGGATATCTGATAATCCTATCAAACCTTAGACATTAGTTATCACATGGAAGGTAATCACTAAGTGTTTGAGGACTATGAAAATCACTCCCAACAGCATACAAACATGTTAGAACTATTTCTCATCTAAAATCAGAAGAAACCCCTTCCTTGACTACACATCCCTGTCCTTTCTTCTCACCACCCTGTTTCTCTGCTCTCCTTGACAGCAAAACTCCTCTTCCTCACTACCCCAACTCCTGAAATCTCTCCAGCCTTTTGTCCCAAAACTGCTCTTGGTGAGGCCACTAAGGACTTCAAGACAGTTGAATCCCATGAGCACTTCTCTGTCTTCATCTTATTAGCTTTCTCAGAGGCATCCGACCCACACATTCTTCCTTCGGGGATACACCTGCTCTAACCGGCCTTTAGTCTCTACAGCCGAGTCCCCAAATCTCTTCTCCTCTATCCATACTCTATACTTTCTATACTATTTAGAAGTTGGCAACTCCTAAATTTGTATTTCCGGCCATAGCCATTCTCAGGCACTCGACGTGTATATTTAACTACCTATTCAACAGTTACACTGAAAATGTCTATTAATAGGCATCTCAATCTTAACCAAAAACAGAATTTTTTATTTCTTCCTAAATGTGATCCTCCCTCAACTCATAGCTCAATAAATGACACCACGTTCACTCAATCCTAAAACCGTGGAGTCATCCTTGACTCCTTGCTTTCTCTTACACCCAAGCTGTCAACAAATTGTTAGGTCTACCTTCAAACAAATCGGTCACCTCTCGTCATCTTTCCAGTACCATCCTAGTCTAAGGATGGTACTAAGTCTAAGGTACTAAGTCTAAGGTACCATCATCAACTTCTTGCCCGAATTTCGACAAAAGTGCAACCACCTTTCTCTTTGTTTCCACAGCTATGTCCCTATGCTCTCTTATCCACAAAGCAGCCAGAATTATTCTTCCAAACATAAACCAGCCATCATTCCCTGTTTAAAACTCTCCAGTGGGAACCTCCCTGGTGGTGCAGTGGTTAAGAAGCCGCCTGCCAATGCAGAGGACACGGGTCTGATCCCTGGCCCAGGAAGATGCCACATGCCACAAGCAACTAAGCCTGTGTGCCACAACTACTGAGCCTGGGCTCTACAGCCCACAAGCCACAACTACTGAGCCCGTGCACTGCAACTACTGAAGCCCATGTGCTCTAGCGCCTCTGTGCCTCAACTACTGAGCCTGTGTGCCGCAACTACTGAAGCCCACGCACCTAGAGCCCGTGCTCCACAACAAGAGAAGGCACCGCAACGAGAAGCCCGTGCACCACAATGAAGAGTAGCCCCCACTCGCTACAACTAGAGAAAAGCCCGTGCACAGAAATGAAGACCCAATGCAGCCAAAAAACAAAACAAAACAAAACAAAACAAAACACACACACAAAACCCTCCAGTGGCCTCCTATCTTACACAGATAACAGAAAGTCTGTAGTGTAGATAGAGAGAGGGACTTGACAAGATGTTGCCCATGGCTAACCTTGCAGAATCATGTCCTGGCACTTCCCCCACCACATCCCAACTTGGCTCTAGCTACAATGGCTTCCTTGCTAGTCCTCACACATTCCTGTCTTAAGTTCTTTTTGCCCTCATTCTGTCAGCCTGAAATGCTCCTCACCCAGTTTCTGCTTTCCCAACTTCATTCTGGTCTCTGTTCAAATAGCCCCACTTCAAAAACACTTCTCTGACCACTCTAAGCACCCCCAATTCCCTATCCCTTTATCCTGTTTTAATGTCTTATCACTTACATTAACCTTTTAATACATTATATGGGTATTTCTTTAGCTGGTTTTTGTTGACCTCCCTTCCAAAATGTAAGCTCCAGGCTTCCCGGGTAGCGCAGTGGTTAAGAATCTGCCTGCCAATGCAGGGGACACAGGTTCGAGCCCTGGTCCAGGAAGATCCCGCATGCCGCGGAGCAACTAAGCCCGTGCAACTACTGAGCCTGTGCTCTAGAGCCCACGAGCCACAACTACTGAGCCGGCATGCCACAACTACTGAAGTCCACATGCCTCACGTGCCTAGAGCCTGTGCTCTGCCACAAGAGAAGCCACCACAATGAGAAGCCCGCTCGCCGCAACTAGAGAAAGCCCACACGTAGCAACAAAGACCCAATGTGGCCAAAAATAAATAATAAAATAAAATTAATTAATTAAAAAAAAATGTAAGCTCCAAAAGGTAAGAAAGTCTACCTTGTTCACCAATGTATCTCCAGCATCTAGACAGTTCCTGGCCCATGGGTTCAGGGCTATTTGTAGAATGCACGTATGCATGTAGGACTGTAACACTTTGCTCCACAATGAACATCCTTAACAGTAGCTACTCACAAGATACTGTGAGGACTAAATGAATCAATATATGTAAAAGTGCTCAGAACAGTGCTATTAATATTATGCAATATTATTGGGTTTTTATTACTTGATTCACATCATTCCAAGATGATTTTTCTTTACTTAAGCCACAGCTATTAAAAATCCCAATCTTTTAAAGTCAACATTCTTCATATTTACACGTCTTTAGCTCTGCAGTTTATTAGTCAGAATATTTGTCATTCTACTCACATCACCACTAATTTTTGAGTTTAAAGGGAGACACTACACTTTTGGCAATTTACAGCTTCTAAGATATTCTGTGAGACTAATTAAACTCAAGCAAAATGTTTCCATTCAATGCTAGTCTTAAAGGTGTATTTAAATTTAATGATGTTTGGATTTTAGGGAAATAAGTGAATGTTGAATGATGTAAGTTTAAAGCTTACTGTAAGTCTACCACACTCAACTATGACTTCACCACGTAAGAGTCAACATTTGCCTATGACACTGTCATTTCTGTAATCCACTGTTTCTCCACTACCTAGTAATAATAAGCATATTGAGAACATGGGCCATGTTTGGTTCAATTTTATTTCCCATAATAGTTCTCTGGACATAGACACTGCTGAATGACCTAGTCTCACCAATAAAGAAACCAAAGATGTCCCCTACTATTTGGTATCAAACTTGCTGTGATCATTTCCAATTATTAAGAATAGGAAAGAAATCTGAGAAACCAGATAGTACGAATGTTCTAACAAGCTATGTGTGATGAATTCTACATTCATAAAACACCAGATGTTACTCCAACCAGCTCTCTCTCTTCTACGTTGGCTTTGTAGGTTTACTGGTACAGTATTTTCCGTATTTCTGAGGTAAACAAGATATAGCTCTTAAGGAGAGAAAACATATCTTATTCATATTCCTAGACTATACCTGGTAAATGCCCAGGCTGAATTCATGTCGCTGATTAGTTTACCTAACAGATTTTAGATGTCCCAAAACTCTGGGGCATCTGACAGCCTTGAGGAAGTGGGATAAATACTAACCAGTGTTTCTTGTTAGTTGGCTAGACCTACACAGACTGTGCCTGTTTTTAAAGTATCCTAAAATACAGGATTTCTCATTAGAACATTCATCCCATTGAAACTTGGTCTTGGAGGGAGAGTGTTTTCCAAGCAAAGATCTCCAATAAGGCTAATACTCTAGGAAGAATAGCATGCAATGTTCAGATATTAAGACAGTGCCATCCTTCTTGAAAGCACATGAAAGCCTCCTCTGAAAAACGCGCCTCTGTTGAAAACTGCACATAAGTGGAGGGAAAGGAGGGCATGAAGTAGTGCAGATCATATAAAGCCTAAGCTATGACTCTGAGGAATCTAATTCCTCAGTCACACAATCTCTAGAAAGAGGTATTTATCGGTACATTGTTAACGATGGTACTGCAACTTTTCCTAAGGCATTCTCTGGATCAGGTTTTTTATTGCAACATTTTTATAATCAGAGCCCCATACTTTTATATGTTGAAAATATTCAATTAAAGATGATGTTCAAGGGGCTTCCCTGGTGGCGCAGTGGTTGAGAATCCGCCTGCCAATGCAGGGGACACGGGCTCAATCCCTGGTCCAGAAAGATCCCACATGCCGCAAAGCAACTAAACCCGTGAGCCACAACTACTGAGCCTGTGCTCTAGAGCCCGTGAGCCACAACTACTGAGCCCGTGTGCTGCACCTACTGAAGTCCATGCGCCTAGAGCCCATGCTCCACGACGAGAGAAGCCACTGCAATGAGAAGCCCACTCGCTGCAACAAAGAGTAGCTCCCGCTCACCACAACCAGAGAAAGCCCACGTGCAGCAGCGAAGACCCAACACAGCCAAAAATAAATAAATAAATAAATTTATTAAAAAAAAAAAAAAAAAAGATGACCTTCAAGCAAGGCAGACCGGTACTTTACATGAAACTAAGCAAAAACACTATTTTAAGATTTGAGTCTGTCTTCTAAGTGGCCCATATATAAGCTGTTGCTGATCAGAGGCAAAGGCCTCTGAATAGTGATTCTATAGTACAAGCATTTAATACCAAAGCAAATAAACATTATCCTTGGAATACAGTGACACGTAATGAATGAAAAGAGAAGAACCTGAGTAAATGTTGATCCAGCTTGTTTTTTGGTGTGTCTGTCTTTCTAATTTATGCACCCTTCT